AGATGAGATATATCACGTAATCTTAGAAACTCGATAATAGCTTACAATTAGTTTTATACAAGCTTTGATATTCGTAAGGAAATATTGTTCGAACGCTGAATAAGATTAGCGAAGAGAGAGAGAGAAAAAAAAAGAAAAGAGAAGGGAAGAAAAAAAGAAAGGGAGAAAGTTTTACTCTCGGTATATAACATAAATATCACGAGTTTTATAGTGGAGAGATCGTCGTCGTCGTCATCGTCGTGCGTATTTAATTAATCAACTTTCCTCCCATAACTTGCTCCCGAACAGTACTGCAATAAATACCGCGCACTCGTTTTTTTTTTTTTTTTCTTTTTATTATTAGTAGCTGGTTTCCAACGTTAACGTTATATCACTATCATAGATTTACGAATAACCGATGCAAGCGAGTTGTACATACGCACGTGTACTCGACACTTTCCCTTGTTATTACATTTACGTCCGGCGTGTAAACAAGCGCAGCAGATGGCTAATTTCACGGTGCGTCTAATTAACCAACCGGAATTGCACAGTGCGGGAACACACGCAGAAGAATTCCCTAGGGTTACGTACGTCGTGTGTTCAACTGTTGCACGCAGTTCTTTCGTGTCCTTCTGCTGGAGAAAAACGTCGTCGACGCCAGTTTCTCGAGTCTTACCAAAAAATGAGAGAAGAGAGAGATGAAATAATAAATAATAAGTAAGGATAGGGATTTAAAATAGAGGAAGAAAAATATAATATAATAGAAAGAAAGGGAGAGAGGCAGAGAGAGAGAGAGAAAGAGGAAAAGAAAACAGAGAAAGAAGATATGACGTTTTAATGGCGCGAGATCCTGTAGGTTAATTCTATGATTCAGTAGCGCTCGTGTGACGAGGGAGATAAATTCGAAGGTGAATCACTATCGTATCTTGATGAACCCTGCTATTTATCGTATTAAGAGAGACTCATATATATATAGTATAAGAGAGAGCGAGCGAGAGAGAGAGAGAGAAGGAATGAAACGATGAAAGATTAAAAAAAAAAAAAAAAAA